ACTTTCAAGAAGAGTTCAGTTCTAGAGGGGGCAAAGACTCAATAGGATAGAATGAAGTACCGTGATGAGCACCGCTCCTGGGGAGATCTGCGGGTGTATAGATCAGGAAATTATGACTGGCAAAGTTGGGTGAGCTGTACTGGTGCTAAAAGGACACTACAATAATGATATAATCCATTTTAGATCGACGAAAAGTGAACAATCCAGTCAAAACTTCTTCAGTACAAGCTCAGAGGGAAACGTAGTGAGCAGCCCAGCAACATCTAGCAAATGACGCCCAGAGGGCAACTTCTTGGGCTGCTTCAGTCACACCTCAGCGGCTGCAACTTCTTGGGCTGCATTTCGGCTTTTCTGCCAAGCCATGCATAGCCTCACAGAAGTGGTGTGGACATCACACCATATTTCCCTCCCTTATTACGTGATATTGGTATGTGTCCTAAGTCTGTATGTGTCCTAAGTCTGTATGTGTCCTAAGTCTGTATGTGTCCTAAGTCTGAAACCCTATAACCTTTGTGAGAAAGAAAAGAAGAGCCTTAAACCGCCAGTACTTCGCCCATACATGATACGCCGGCCACGGTGAAAACAGAGCCTCTACGATTCCACCTGAATGAATTTGGGCCTCAGCAGCCAGGCCTGGTTGGCTCTGTGCTTGCTGCTCGTGTACGTCTCGGAAGTACTGATGGCTTTAGTTTTTTTTTTTTTTTTTTTTTTTGGTTGATGGCTTGAGGATATTGATGCGGGCTCATTGGAAGATGAGTGGTGTAGATGTCCAAGGAGCGCCAGCGTGATGAACAGGACTCAAAACAAAACGAGATAATGCAATGTAGCGCAGCAGAAGACTCAAAGATATGAGCTGACACGTCAGATCCAGACTCGACTCACACAATTATCATCACGCACGTCTTACAGCAAAGACTCCAAGGAGGGAAATCATACACAGGGGAAAGATCCCTCCTTGCGCACACACATGGGGAGAAACCACAGATGATGAAGGGGGAGGATAGACAAAGATGGAGTCTCAGAGGGGAAATAGGACAAGAGTAGAACTCATAGTCGTCCAAGAAATAGTATCCCTGTCAAATGTCCAACCAATGTCTGTCCTCAACAATGTTGAATCAGATCCTGGCCGCGCATAGGCCCGAAATAGTCACTGCCTGAAATCTCTCTCTCTCTCTCTCTCTCTCTCTCTCTCTCTCTCTCTCTCTCTCTCTCTCTCTCTCT